GTGCACAAACACACACTCAACCGCTTCCCCATGCAGGATCTTGTGTTTTTAAACACACAAATAACTGCAGGCATGCACTGTGTTTCATGGGCCACACTCCCCAAAGGACAAGGGTACACTTAGAAATAGACAGGGATGCACTAGTGTGAGACAAAGAGAGCTAGGGACGGGAGAGAGAGAGATTAGCTGACTCCCTTGGATCTCCTTAGGAGGTTCTTAGTGGCCTGAGAACTGGTGCTTCTACTCCCCCCACCCCAATATCTTCTCCTCAGATCTCTAGAGAAACTAGAATTTTTTTTTTTTTTTTGACATAGTCTTGTTTTGTCACCCAGGCGAGAGTAGTGGCGCAATCATAGCTCACTGCAGTCTCCAGCTCCTGGACTCAGCCTTGAACTCTCAAGCTCAAACTCCTCCCACTTAAGCCTCCCAAGTAGCTGGGACTACGGGCGCATGGCACCACCCCCAGCTAATTTTTTAAGTTTTTTGTAGAGATGGGCGTCTTGCTGTGTTGCCCAGGCTAGTCTTAAACTCCTGGCTTCAAGTGATCCTCCCGCTTTGGCCTCCCAAAGGCATAAGCCACTGCGCCCAGCCTATAATTCTTAAGAATCCCTTCTTCCTGGGAAATCCCTGGGCCCCGCCCACCCCATCTAGGGCCCAGGGAGAGTATAAGTTTTTTCCTCCCCGCTTGGGGCACTGAAATAAGAAGGTGACTCAGGGGCAGGGGCCTGGGTGGGTGGGGTGACTCAGCTGTCTAGAGGGGGAGTGTGGTCTGGTGACAGGAGAGATTACTTCTAGACCTCAGAGGGTATACCCTAATCCTCTGTGGCTCTCTCATGTCCAAACCTGGCCCAGGCGGCCCCTGGGTGGGGATGGGGGTGTGGGCTGGTGAGAGCTGCCCCCTTCCGCTCCTGCAGACTCTGGGCTGCCAGATGAGGTTGAGGTGGCAGCAGGGGCCTCACTGGCCCATTTTAACACTGCCACAGGGTTACTACCCAGCCCTGTGTGCGACGTGCTTCTAGCCCCACCCCTGTGGGGTCAGGCCAATGGGCTTCTCTGATTATGGGATCAACTGTGTCCCAATTCCTGCCTCCAAGGTCTCTCCAGGGGGTTGTTGGCTAGTCACCTGGGGTAGCCAAACAGTGCTGGGAATCTTGCAGAAGGACCCCCTTCATGGTTTGGCTGATTTCCTGACATACAGGAAATCAGGGCTGCCTCAAAATCTTCCTGGGCAAGGGCTAGGGAGGGCTTGGTGGCACCAGCTCTGAGCACACAAACAGACCAGCTTGGCTTCCTGCCCAATGTCCTGGTCTCACCCAGAAGGTCCAGGAACCTCTCCAGGCTATCAAAGATCTTAATTTTGCCCTTAGTACAACGGCAACCATAACTTGACCAGTAATGGCCCAATGAAGGGACCTGGCTACCCTCAGAGCAACCCAAGAGGTCACAGGTAAGCTGTGGGAGTCAAAGGAGCTTTCACTTCCAGCCCTTGAAAAGAAGCAGGGACAGGCATGCCTGCCATCATCACCTCCAGCATCTGGAGGTCAGGGCTGCAGAGGGTACAGGAAGCAAAGCCAGGCAAGAGAAAGCAACGTGGAGAACAGAGCTGAGGGACCCGTGGCTAGAAGACAGTGGCACAGGGGTGTGGGTGTGAGTGCCTAGGAATGGCCATGTGAGTTTCTTCCAGAGGTGGGCAGCAGATCTCAAGCATCAGTCATACCCCAGAGGGAGGCTGATCTGACCCAAGGCCTGGCCTTGTCAGGCCCCAGGGCCCTCTCAGCCGCCCCCAGGCCTGGCCCAGCGCCCCACCAGCCTCACTTCACCCGGTTAGAGTGCTTTCTCCAGAGCCCTTACTTGAAGCTCCAACTCAGCCAGCCCCACCCTAGCATGAAACCTGAGACTGGGGGGAGAGCCCTCAGCCTCTTGCTGCTCTGAAAATCACTCCCATTTCCAACAAGAAGGGAAAGACATCAGAATGGCTTCCCACCCATTCTTTAAGGCCTGGCCCCAATTGCACCTCCTCCACGAAGACCCCCCAGACCTTCCCAGCTTGCTGTGATCACATTTCTCTGCCACCACCAGGCTGCAGAGGGGTAGGAGACTCCCTGAGCCTTTAGCGTCCTACTCTCCAATGTGGCACTCAGTGTGGCTTGGTTTGTGCCGTTGGTTATGTCTGTAGGTGTCTTGGGTCCCTACTGGACTGTAAGCTCCTTGAGGGCAGGGTCCTAGCTTGTACATCTCAGTACCTCCCACAACATCCATTCCAGGCCCTAGCACATATTAGGTATTGATGGATTGATGGATAAGAAGCACAAGGAGACAGCAGCAATCCCACACTCCTCAAAAAAATGAAGTGAGAGTCTGAGGCACAGAAAACAGAGAGGAGGCAGCCCACATTTATTTAGCTCTGACTCTGTGTTAAGCACTATTAAGTGTTTTATGTATGTTCTCATATTTAACCCTTACCACCAACTCTATGGGAAGATGTATAATCAGTCCCATTTTACAGGTGTGAAAGCGGCAGTCCAGACATGATCATTACCATTCTGAGGTAGTACAGCTATAACGAGTGGCGGGGTCAAGATTGAAAGCTAGATGTGCCTGCCTTCAAAGTCCATGGGCAGTCCACTCTGCCCTGTGCCCACTCCCAGCACCCAGCAAGAAAGACGACAGCGAATGTCCCGGTTTACCCACAGCCCAGCAGGCATGGAGGGGGAAGGGCTGAGGGATTTGCCCTGATCTTCTCCAATGGATGGTCTCTTATTCCTGCCTGTGGGCCATCCTCCCAAGAGAGTCCCTGAACAGGGTCTCCAGAGCCAGGACTAGAGCAACCTGCCCCTCCGCCCCTTGTGCCCCACACAAGCAGTCCAGTTCTAGGAACTATGCCACTTCCCCTAGCTCTGGCTATTTGGAGATGAGCTGAAGTCAGAGAGGCAGGAAGTCAAGGAAAAGTTCTGTTATCTTGTCCCTGTGTGTCCCCAAACAGCCTGCCCGGGGCATCCAATCGGGCAAATGGCCCGAGTGCCTGGCCATCTGGTCACTCCAGGGGCAGGACCCCTCTGGACCCAGCAGGAGTGAAGGGGTTACATAGGGTCTTCAGAGACAAAGAACACACACACACAGGCAAACACACACTCCAGGGTCCTGACCTCGGCTAATTAGCCTCTGGTGTCTGGGGGGTGACAGAGCTGATATACAATATCTGGGTTCTCTTTGTATTTTCCCTCTTTCCACCCCAACTTGGCCTTGGCAGGGGTCTCCGGGCACATAGGGACAAAAGTAAATCCCCCTTCTGAGCTGGCTTCTCTGACTTTGACAGCTGTCTCCTAAGTCCCAGAAAGCTGCAGCTACTGGTTAAACCACGGGATACCCAGAGAGCACGATCTCAGGGAATCCCTGGCAAAACTTTCTTCCACTTGGGCTGGGTGGTGGCCTGGGGGACCTGCTCCTGGGAGACTCAGGCCTCCCAGCTCCAAGCCAGACAGATGTGCAGCCCTAGGGCAGCCCAGACAGGCTGGAAAACACTCAGCTCCTGGAGCAGGAGAGATGGGGGAGAAGGGGAAAGAACACACACACACACACACACACACACACACACACACACACACGCACAGGAGTTTGGCCAGAAAAGTTTCCTACAGAAGGAAAAGCCGCCTTGCCCGCCGGTTTTCCCGGGACCCAAGGAGACTTCCCCTGGAATCCTCTGGGAAGATGAGAGGCAGCGGCAGCAGCTTCTACCAACAGCAGCAAAACTTCAGTCCGAAAAGTCCCCCAAACCCCCCTCCCTCTCCCCCTCGTTCTTTTGTTCCCCACTGCATTGCCAACCAGGCAGCTCCCGGCTTCCCACACTGGACTGTCCTCCCCCAACCCCAAACCCGAACCCGCCCGCGCCTCCCCGCCTGGCCCGCTGCCGGGGGGCCGGGGGGCGCTCACCCGCCTTGCAGGGGTCTTTGTAGTTGAGGGGCTCCGAGTCGTCCTCCTCCGCCAGGTCATAGGTGTAGTCGGCCAAGTCCAGCGGCCGGCCGGGACGCGGGAGCAGCAGCAGCCCGAGCAGCAGCGGCAGGCGGGCCACGCCGGGCATGCTGGCGGGGCGGCGGCGAGGGAAGCGGGGCACTGGAGGCTAGGGGAGGGCGTCCCCTCGCCCGCTCGTTCGCTTGCTCGATCGCGACCGCGACCGCTCCCGCCCTCGCTCCCCGACCTCTTCCCCTTCCCTCCGCTCGCCTCCCTCCTTCCTGTCTCCCGCCCCCCGCTCGGCCCGCCGCTCCGCGCTTGTCCTCGGGCTGCAGCAGTCTCCCTCTCCCTTCCCTTCTTTTTCTCTCTTTCTTTCTCTCCCTCCCTCCCTCCCTCCGGCTCCCCCCCCCCTTTTTAGGGAAATGAGCTCGCTGGAGGGCGGGTTTTCGCCCGAGCTCGGCCCCCCTCGGGGCCGGGACAGTGCTCGGCCGGGCCGGGCCGCGCGCCAGCCGGGGCGGGGAAGGCGCAGAACCGCGCGCCCGGGGAGGGGGCTCGGGCCGCCCGGGCCGCGGGCCGCCGGGCCGGGGCGGGAGCTCGGGCCCCCGGGGTGCCGGGAGGGCTGTCGCTCCCGAGATGCCCTCTAGCGGCGGCCTCCCCCGCGGGCGCTCGGCCGAGCCCCCGCCCCGCCGCGGGACACGCTGTCAGGTCCTCCCGCCGCCCCTGCCCCGCGTCCCCGCCTCGGGTCGGTCTCTCCGCCGACGTCTCCCTAGCTCCCCTTCTCCGACCCTCTCTCGCGTCTCGCTCTCTGCGCTCTCTGTCTCTCTTGCTGTCTCGGTGTCTCTCCCTCCTCCGGAGACGCCGCTGGAGGGCGCCGAAAGCCCGTGGATGGCTCCCCGCGAGCCCCTCTCCCCCGCCGGCGTGGACCCAGTCCCCCAGCGCACTGGGACAGAGGGAGAATGGCAAACCCCACTCTGCTCTCCCAAGGCACTTCCCTTCCCGGCCGGCCCCTGCCAGGGCAGGACTGTGCCCTACAGAAAGATAGAAGAAGACCCTTTGCTTTTCAATCAGGCTGCTTTATTCTGTTGTGGCAGGAGTTCCAGGGCCCCTGGGCACCACCTCTGCCCGCTCCCATCCTCTACCCAAACTCCAATTTCTCCGGGGCCTGTCCCTGCGTTGTGGGCAGAAGCAGCTTCTTGCCCGTCTGCAAAAGCTGCAAAAGACCCTTTGCCCAGGGCGTTTCCTGTCCCCCTGGGGCTTCCACTGACCCTGTGAAGCAAAGGCATGTTGAAGATGGACAGAGAGGATCGGGGGAGTGGGAAGTACCGTTCTGCGAGCCTCCCCTCCCCTGAGCTCCCTGGATGACCCTGCTTCAGTGGATGCCCCAGCGCCTGGTCAGCGCGAGCGCTCCTCCACAGCCCGGGCAGGTGGCCCAAGCGCTCCCAGCGACCCTGGGATCACACCTGCTCACTTGAGGAGTCCTAGATGTAGTAGAGCGGCACCTCGCCACACAGGGTGCTCACGGCCATGCCCAGGAAGGCCAGGTCCCCTCTGGAGGGTGCTGAGCCTGCATCTCGCCCCTCCACCTGGTCCAGCTTAGAGGTAGGCACTGCGGGCTTGGCCTGCGGAGAGCATTCCATTTGAAATCTAGGAAGTGAGTTTGTATCCCGTGTGCAGCCCTTATTGTGGGACTTCAGGTATATCAGGCAATCTCTCTGAGCCTCAGTTTCCTCACCAGTAAAGAGGGGCTGTGCTAGAGTCAGAAGCCACCAGGTAGTGAGTGGACTCAGCTGAGCCCAGCAGCTTGGCAGTGGGGTGGGAAGGGAAGGAGTCGTGCAGGGGAATAGGGAGAGGGGCAGTCAGCAGGCAGCCAACAAGGAACGATGCTTTACAGGTGACAAATAGCCACCATTCAGACGCTCCTCCCAGCAGCCCTGGGAGGGAGACAGCCCACTCCTTTCACCCACACACACACCTGGAAGTTCTGGACTTTTCTAGTGAGCGCCTCAAGACTGGGGATGCTCTCCGGAGCTGTCTTCATGATGTAGCACCAGGTGCCAGGGGCTGGCTTGTAGGCGATCAGGAGCTAGGCACAGAATGCTGGAGATGATTTGGGGGTCCCTGCCCTGCTCTCTCCCTGACCCAGGTCCTTAGCCACCTCCCTCTAGGTTGGGCATGGGAGTTATACTAGAATCTGGGGTTCAGGCCAAAAGGGCTGGAGGAGGGGGAGAGAAGGATGTGGATGAAGTGGCCCAGCTGGGTGGCTCTAGCAGAGCCTTGTCATTGGTCCCAGGGTCAGGAGGTCCGGGCATACCCACCCGCTGGTAGTCATACACCACGAGGCCAGTGGAGCCAACAGAGAAGGTGGCAGTGGTACCCAGGTGCCCACTCCGGGCCAGGTGTTGCTGGGCTTCCGGAGCCCCGATGCTCATCTCCAGAACCTGGGGATAGGGCATGGAGCTGCCTGGTTTTCCCCTTTGCTACTCAGCCTGTGGTACCCATCCCCATCCTCAGGCCTCTGTACTCAAATTTGCTTCCCTCTTTCCCGAGAGCTCAGAGAGGCTGAGTGGAACCAGGTGCTGGGGGGAGCCGCTGTCCTGCTGTGGGGCAGGGGCCCTGTGGAAAAGCCTGGGCTGGGTTGCCACCTGGTTTGTGCCTCTTTCCTTCTAGCTGTGCCCCTTGCCTCCTCCCCTCCACTCCCCTTGGACAGTTTCCTATCGCCCATCCCACCTAGCCCCTCTGTCTGGCATGTCCTATGCCCACCGCCGCCCCATCCCACACCTCTCACCATCTCCGTGTGTTTCTGGCTCATGTGGAGACCCATGAGCAGGGCTCCCACAATCACCACAACGACAAGGACCACCACCACCACCACGATGAGAAGGCGTTTCAGGTGCACCGGGCAGCAGGGGATGCCAAATCGGCCCCGGGGAGCCGCGGAGTAGTCCTGACACAGTGGGGCAGGCAGGGAGACCGGCATGAGGTCATGAGGCTGCCCCTCTTCTCCCTGCACAAGCTGGACACCCTCCCACGGCCGCCTAGGGCTGGACGGTCAATGCGATGGACAGACAGGGAAGGGTTGAGGAGATCAGAGAAGGCTTCTTGGAGGAGGTGGCTTGGATTCTAACAAACCCATAGACACATAGAAGCTTAGAAGCAGGGTCTAGTTTTGAGGGACCCAAGAGAGCCTGCTTCACCTGTCTCTTCCTGCTGTGTCCCCCAGGCCCCTGGCATCTCAGTCATGGTCAGCCCCTCTCTGTTCCCCAAGTGATCACCTCCATGTGGTGACACAAAATCTCCCTCCTTCCTGGAATGCCTTCCACCTTCTCCACCAGGTGAGCTCCTCCTTATTCTGGCTCCAGCTCATGTGTCGTTTTCTCTGTGAAGTGTCCCCTGACTTCTGAAGTTTTTCATGGCTTCTGACTCGGAGCTGTCTACGGATGGCCCTTTCAATCGACCCCAATCATGGCTCTCGGCCCACGAACAACTCCACAAGGGTCCCAGGCTTAGTGGTCTTGGTGTCCCCCATCCTGACTTACCACAATCCTAGGTTAGTTGAGTGAATGGATCTGGATAAGGAAACAGGCCAGGGAGGATAGAGGAGGCAGGGCCCATCACACACACGCGCGCACACACATACACACACACGCAACCACACTCACCGGCGGGCTCTCCATCAGGACCTCTTTGCTGCCCACATCCATCTTGCTGCAAGTGCTATGCTGTCCTCTCCTGCTCTCCCAGGTGTGACCAGGGTCTTATATGTGTCCATAGGGAGAGAGGACAGAGGTGAAGGACCAAGTCCCCTGTGTGCCAGCCAAGCCCTTGGCTTTGAAGCTTGTTTGTTCCTGTCCCTCCAGAACTGAAGCCCAGATAAGCCAGCTGTGAGAGCCCCCAAGGGCCCTTGGCCCTGGCACATGAGTCCTCTTGGCCCCAGCAAGAGCAAAGCTGGGTGAGCTGAGCAAACTTGCCCTTGGGCCATCTGCACCTCTCACCGTGGGTGTCTTCCTGGCGTGGCCACCTTCCTTGCTGGCACCTGCCCCTGCTGCCCTGTGGCTTTCCTGATTCTTCTGCCAGCCTGAACCTCTCAGGCAGCCAAGGGTCTGACCATCACATTTCCCAGCAGAATTTCTCGATGCATAGGGATGCACTCCAGGAAGGGGGTTCTGGAGGCAGCACCTGTAGACTCAGAGAGGACTCTGCCTAAAGCAGGAGGTGCTTTGACATCAGTTTTGGGGGTTTCATAAATCTACATTTCCCTGCAAGGACCAATTCCAACTTCAAGCACTCTTTCCCTCACCTCGTCTCCTCCCACACATCTAGTACCAGCCTCAAACTTGCCCCCAGTGATTATTTTCCTGATTCTGGAAACTGTCCCCACTGGTGGCAAGCTCTTACTGATGTGCAGTGCTTCCTTCTTTGCTCTGGGCTTGTCTGTCAATTGCAGGCTTTGCTGATGGCAGATTCCAGGTCTGACACTGCTTTCTTCTGTCCGGACAGCCCTGCACAGGGCTGGCTCTGGTCACTGGTGGGCTCCCAGTCTCCCCATCCTCAAATCAGCCCACTCACCCTGTGGTCTACACTCTACCCCTCTAGACTCCCCCTTCTACATCCTCTGATCCTAAATTTGCCCTGAGAATGATACTCACCCAAATATGATCAACTTTCAGGACTGTCTCCTTCTCTTTTCTCTCTTTCCTAGTGCCTTCCCTAAAGCCATCTCTATGTATTTACGAGGTCAAATCTGCCAATGACTTTGGGCTGGCTCACACTTTCTCTCAGGTTCCCTTTCACTCCTTGGGCCAGGTGGTCTCTAAAGTCCCTTCACCTCTAAACTCAGGTGGCTGTGGCAGCGTCCAGGCCTGGGCTTGCTCGCTTCACCTCCTATCTTTTTTTTTTTTTTTTTGATAAAGACAGCCCCTTTATCACCCAGGCTGGCATGCAGTAGCGAGATCACTGCTCACTGCAGCCTTGACCTCCTGGACTCCGGTGATCCTCACACCTCAGCCTCCCGAGTAGCTGGGACTACCAGAGCATGCCATGCCCAGCTAATTTTTGCATGTTTTATAGAGATGGGTTTTCACCATGTTGCCCAGGGTGGTCTTGAACTCCTGGGCTCAAGTGATCTCGGCCTCCTAAAGTGCTAGGATTACAGGTGTGAGCCACCATGCCCAACCAGCCTCCTGTCCTTTAACATGCCACCCCAGTTCCTGCCCCCTGCCCCAGCCCCCTCCCACCAGGGCCCTGCCCTTTGGTCATGAGCTGGCAGGTTCCCCTGTCCCCCCCTCCACCTGGAGGGCCTTCGGCCCCAAGGTTGCATAACAACATGGCATCTGAACTGAGAGCCCCTGAGAAGCTGAGAAGCGCAGGAAGGAAGAAAGGGAAGGAAGTGTTTGCTCCCACCACCCTCCTCACCCCCGAGCTGCCCCTTTAAATATTTGCCTAAGACTCCAGCAGCTCGAGAGTGTCCTAGGACAGTGAAAGGAGGGGAGGGGTGCCGGGAGGAGGGGGAGCCCAGAGAAGCGTCCTCTCAGCTCCGCCTCAGCTGTGTGCAGGTGCCAGATGTAGGAGACAGCTCGCCTGCAGTGCCCACCCCTGCCCTCCCCCAGGGCCCCCACTCCTGCCCCCATCATCCTGGCAACATTGCGATTGATCAGCTGACTCACACGTACTGGGCCTGAGCCAGGTGGGCAGCCAGCCAGCGGGAGAGCCAAGCACTGCAGGCATCTCGGGGTCCCTGTGGGCATCTCAGGGGGCCGTGTTGTCCTCACGTGGGACTTGTTCTTAGCAGGCACTGTGGGTGGGGCTTGCCGCCATCACTGGGTGCTAGGAGAGGGGTCTCTTTCTTTGAAAAAGCCTCTGCTCTTTCTGGTCCTTGGTCTCCCTTGCCTGTTGCCCTTAGGCTGTAGCTGTCATAAGCTCTGTGGCTGCTGTTGCTGCTGCTTCTCCTTAAAACTCATTTTTGCTTGAGGGCTGAGGGAGGGTGCCCGCCTCCTGGAGCACTCACACTAACCAGGTGAAGGTCCTGGGTTCCTTGGAGAAGGAAACACAGAAGGATCTTTAGCTGGGTGTGCCAACCTTCCCCCTCCCCCATACCAGCCCTATCTGCAGCCTTCTCACATTTTTGCCTTTTCTCCTTATGGGAGAAATGCTTAAGCCATTTCTCCCTCTGTGAAAGCCAACCTCCAATCCCTCTCCACTTCTCCGGTTTTATTTATTTATTTATTTATTTATTTAGAGACAATGTCTCACTCTGTTACCCAGGCTGGAGTGCAGTGGTGCAATGACAGCTTCATAGCTCACTGCAGCCTTCATCTCCTGGCCTCAAGTGATCCTCCTACCTTGGCCTTCCAAAGTGCTGAGATGACAAGTGTGAACCCTGCATCTGACCTTCTATCTCTCTGAATGCCACCCACCCAAACAGGCCAAGTGCCATTGGCACCTGCTCTGTGACCTCACTCCAGTTCATGGTGCCCTTTGAAATCCTCAGCCTCTCTGTGGCACCTTCACCTGCCATTCAGCACATATGAATGTTCTTGTCAGCTACATGGGTGATTTTTGTTGCTCTGTCTTCTAGCCCAACTGCAGGCCCTGGGAAGGAAAGGAGCACGCTTCCCATAGGCTTCTTTGAACCTGCCACTGGGCAGGAGGCATGCAAACAGCCAACACTTAATGATAGTCAATGATGAGACCAATACCAACAGTGGCCAATAGTCCATGCCTTCTGTATGTGGAGGTCTCAGTGCTTCCACTGGCCAGCTCTGGGACCCAGCGTGAGTCATTCTGCTTTGCTAGGCATTAGTATGTTCATCTGTGAGATGGGTCAGGTACTAGCTGTCCACCTCACTATGCTATTATAAGGACCTAATGGCATCATGGGTGTGACATCCAGTCGTCATCATTAGCATCATCTACTTCATCCTCTAGGGGACCTCCCACTAGCTAAGAATACAGCCCAGACTCGCCCTCATTGTCTGTTTCTGGGTTGACCCCCTCTGAGAGCCCTGGGCAATGGACAGCCCCACAGTGGCCACCCCTTCTGTGTGGGCCTCCCCGTTTCCTCCTCCAGCCTCTCAGCTGCAGGGGTGGGGACAAGATTCACTTTGCTCTTTGTGTACTGGGCAGAGCCGTGCCAGGGACGGGTGGGAACAGTTGCCCAGCTGCCCCAGCCACCTCCCTACCCCCACTGCTTCCCTGCCCCCAAGTTGGCATGGGGAGGGCAGCTAAATGTGTGGCAGCAAGTAGACATCAAAGTGCAGGGGCATCCCTGGCTGGGAGAACACGACTTAAGCTCAGACCAGAGAATCCCCTGCTGGCAGAGTCTAGGGACAGCTGGGGAAGCGTCTTAAAGCCATTGGTCTCAGTTCCCTGGACTGGTGTGGAAAGAGCACAAGACTAGAAGCCCAGGCAGCTTACAGCCAGGCTCCCCTTGCCCCATGCCTATGAGCTCTTAGGACAGTCATCCTCCGCCACGGGGAAGCTAACGTGGTATAGAGCAGCAGTCTTCAAGCTTTTTGGTTTCAGTACCCCTTAACACTCTCAAAAAGTATTGAAGACCCCAAAGAGCTTTTGTTTATGTGGGATATGTCTGTTGACATTTATTGAGAAATTATCTTTTTATTTACATATGAATTTAAAATATCAGTAATAAACCCATTATATGTTATGATATAAATCACATTTTTAATGGAAAAACTATTTTACAAAGCAAAAATAAAATTAGAAAGTGTCACTCCTTTACAGTTTTAGAAATCTTTTAAATTTGGAACTTCATAGAAGTGAAAAGGGCAAATCATGTCTTGACAATACTAGGGAAATTGTTTTTACCTCAGAGACAGAGAAGGCCCAGGGCTACACTTGGAAGAACCCTGCATGGAAGGACAACCGTGAACGTTGAAGTTGGGCACAGTGGGCAGAAATCCCTGCTGATACATTTTTCTTCTGGTGCGACAGGCCTCACTTTTCTTGTCTGTAAAAGGGAATTACTATCACCTGCCTCAAACTATTGAGAGGATTAAGTAGGGAAAGTACAGAACACTTGAGATAGCAAACTTAGCCAGCCTCTTTTTGGGGGACCTCAGTTTCCTCATTTGTTAGACAAAGGGCTGGACTGAAAAATATCTAAAGCGCTTCCCAGCTTCAACAGGCTGTGGTTGAGCAGTGAGAAATGTTCCAGAATTCCACACAGTCCCACTCCAGCTCCAGAGGCTGTGTTTCCCTTTTCAGCTCATGCTGACACAAAGGTACATTCTGTTCAGTGGCGCGTGGAAAAACATGTGAATTCAGTTAGAAGCGCACTTCAGACTCCTCCAGGACGCCCTTGTGCTTCTAATCTTGCATGCTAACTTAGATATGCGTCTGCCACTCACGACATGCCCATGATGCTGCCTAGGGGATGTGTCCCCCCCATGCAAAGAAATCCAGGTACACAGAAGCACAGAGATCCCTAAATCCGAAGCGCCTCCACAAGGCAGTGTGTGCATGTGCCCGTGCAGAGACAGGTGAGCACCGGCGCGCACGGTCGTGCCCAGCACACGAAGGCACAAGTACAAGCTCACACGCATGCACTCACGCGCAGCCACACACGCGGATGGCCCCAGAGACAGCCCGGGAGAGCACACAGCGGCCACTCCTCCCCTTCGGTGACTCCCAGACTCGGGCCTCCCACCGCCGCCCCGCGCGCGCCCCCGCCGCCCGCGCCGCAGTCCGCATCCACCCCGCGCGGTCAGCCCCGGCTGCGGCTCCAGCTCCGCGCTCCGCGCTTCTCTCCCAAGCCGGATCGCGGGAACGAGCAGGGGAGGGGACCGCAGCCGGCGCCCGAGGGCAAGAAGAGTCCGCAGGCGGGCCCCTGGCTGCGGCAGCAGCTGCCGGTGGCCGGGAGGTGCCAGCCCGCGCGGGGTGGCCCAGCCGCGGGAGCGGTGGGGCGGGTCCGCGGCTGCCGGCCCCAGGGAGAGCTCGCGGGCAGCATGGCGGGGCTGCGGGCCAGGCGGGGCCCGGCGCCGGGGCTGCTGGCGCTCTCCGCGCTTGGCTTCTGCCTCATGCTGCAGGTCAGCGCTAAGAGGCTCCCCAAGACGCCCCCCTGCCCGCCCAGCTGCTCCTGCACCAGGGACACCGCCTTCTGCGTGGATTCAAAGGCAGTGCCCAGGAACCTGCCCTCGGAGGTCATCTCCCTGTGAGTGTCCAGCCCCGGCCTTGGGGGTGGGGAGGGAGAGGAGGCCGAGGACAGCTCTGGGAGAGGACAGGAGAACCCTCGCTCCCCCTCTTCAGAGTGTGGGGACCAGGGGGACTGCAGGGGTCCTCAGGGCTGGAGAGCCCAGGCCCCAGTCGGGCAGGGAGTTCTGCAGTTTTGCAGCCTCAGCGGCCATGGGTGGGGAAAGCAGGAGTTCACCACCAAGAATGAATCATCACCACCACGAGCGTCAGTGAGACCTACTGTGTGCTGGGCTCCAGACTTGTGGGGGGGGGTTGCTTACATGAGCATGTGGACTCCTGCCTGTGATGTCACACCAAGGGCAGGAGAGTGGCAGCCAGGGCAGGTGGGAATGAGCTCTGCCCTCCCAGCACCCTGGCATGGGGCACACGCCTGCCACTGACCAGCCACTTGGCACCCAGCCCGGCCAGCCTGTCACTTGCAACAGCCAGCCTCAGGGGCTCCCCTTGTCTGTGGGACCAGAGAGGTTGTGAAGTCCTTAGGGACCAGGATGCCAGCCCCCACCCCCATGCCCCATCTCTCAATAGCACCCAGCCCATTGTGGGTGTTTGGATAATGATGATAACGGTGTGGGTGATGGAACCTTTTCTTGCCTGAGAGGGAAGCTCAGCCTGGGGCCATGGGTGCCCCAAGAGGCAATAGGGGAGGACTGTGGTGAAGGCAGGCAGTGAATTTGGGAAGAGAAGGGAAAGACACAGGTGGGGGCCAAGGTCGGTGAAATGGGGCGTTTCCAGGGCAAGTGAGTACAAAAGCCTCTGCCGTCCATGTTCACCTCTCCCTGCCTCAGCACAGCCCCTGCAGACCCCACAGTACTGACTCGGGTGTCCCCGCAGGACCCTGGTGAATGCCGCCTTCTCAGAGATCCACGATGGAGCGTTCTCCCACCTCCCGCTGCTGCAGTTCTTGTATGGATAGGGCCTTGTGGAAGGGTTGGGGAGCTGTGGGGATGGTAGCAGGGAACAGATCCTGGGCTGGGGAGAGGGAGAGTGGACAGAGGCAGCCTCTGGAGACAAAGATGCAGGTGTCCCTTGCGTTTATTCTGATAGGATGTACCCAAAAGGTGGGGCAGCCTGGAGTCAGGGGAGTCGGGGCAGCAGGAGGACAGCTAGGGATGGCACAGAGAAGCCAAGCACGGGGGATCTGGGGATGGGCTTGGCGCCTCTGGAGACCCAAGAGAACTGGGTGCGATAACCTGGACAAGTGCCTAAGGTGGGCACTCTGGGGCCATGTTAGAGACAGGTGACCCCAGGAATCACGCATCCCAGAAAGAGCTGGGGGCTGAAAGAAAGGGATGGCAGGAGTGTCTCCAACTCTACAAGATGCCGTCCATGAGGGACAGTTGTCCATGATGGGCTGAAGTGGGACAGAATGAGGGTGGGAGAGAGGGAGAGGAGATGCCACTGGGGAGGGCCAGGAGCTGGCTTGACAAGAGAACTCTGCCTTGGCCCATGTTTAGGAGCCAACAGGGACCCTGGGAGCTTCTGGGGCCAGAACAGGCTCCTGCCTGGCCTTGTTGCCCAGGTGGCCCAGGGATTCCCTATGGGGTCCCTAGGGGTGGCAGCAGGGCAGCCAGGTCTTGGGGAAGCCCAGGGTTGAGGCAGTGGGCTGGGGGCTGGGGCAGCAGGCACACCCTTGGAAGCTCTAATTCCACCTTTGTCTCTGCAGGTTGCTCAACTCCAACAAGTTTACACTGATTGGAGACAACGCCTTCACAGGACTGTCGCACCTGCAGTATCTGTGTGTGGGAGGGAAAGGGGCAATGGGAAAGAACAAGGGAGGGGGACCCCAGGCCTGGGAGGCCGAGGGACTGGGTAGGGATTGGATGAGAATGCCGTGGGAGGGGGAGGTGATGGGAGGCGAGAGCCCTTGCATCCCGTGACGGCAGGACCTGAGCGGAAGGTCGTTTCATTCATTTTGCCTCTACCCTACCTGATGCCCTATCCCTATGGCTTGATGATGCCAGACTCCATTTGGAAACCTGTCTTGGGGACATGGGCTGAAATCTAGGCTGGGGCATAGGGCGAGTGCTGCCGGGGGTCTGGCATCCTGTGTGACCACTGAGGCAAGCTCCCGCTTTCCCCAGCTTCATTGAGAACAATGACATCTGGACATTATCCAAGTTCACCTTCCGAGGACTCAAGTCCTTGACTCACCTGTGAGTACGTCACACATATACACACTGCACCAAAGCCCCACCTCTCGTGTGGCCTTTGGCTTTGGTCATGATCTTCAGATGACCTGGGGGTCTCTCTTGCAGCTCGCTGGCCAACAATAACCTGCAGACACTGCCCAGAGACATATTTCGGCCCCTGGACATCCTGAATGACTTGTAAGGCCCGAGTCCTATCTCTTCCAACAGTGCCGCAGAGGGTGCATCCCTGGAGGGAGTGCTGTGGGAGTCAGAACTGGGATGGTCGTAAGGTCTTGAGAAGCCGGGAGGGCTTGGGTCTGGGGGCCCCTGAGCAGGTGAGGAGGTGGAGTTAGATATAGATGGTAGCCTTCCAAACTGCATTTTTTCTCAAAGTGCGCCTGAGACACCATGTGTATATGTTTTTGTTTGTTTGTTTGTTTGTTTAGATGGAGTCTCACTCTGTCACCCAGGCTGGAGTACAGTGGCACAATCTTGGCTCACTGCAACCTCCACCCCTTGGGTTCAAGTGATTCACCCTCAGCCTTCTGAGTAGCTGGGGCTACAGGTGTGTGCCACCACACCTGGCTAATTTTTTGTATTTTTAGTAGAGACGGGGTTTCACTATGTTGGCCAGGCTGGTCTCAAACTCCTAACCTTGTGATCTGCCAACCTCGGCCTCCCGAAGTGCTGGGATTACAGGCGTGATCCACCATGCCCGGCCAAAAATGTGCTTTTCAAGGCTGGGCATGGTGGCTCACGCTTGTAATCCCAGCACTTTGGGAGGCCAAGGAGGGCGAATCACCTGAGGTCAGGAGTTTCAGACCAGCCTGGCCAACATGGTGAAATCCCATCTGTACTAAAAATACAATAATTATCTGGGTGTGGTGGCAGGTACCTGTAATCTGGGCTACTTGGAAGGTTGAGGCAGGAGAATCACTTGAACCTGGGAGGCAGAGGTTGCAGTGAGCCAAGATCGTGCCATTGCACTCCAGCCTGGGCAACAAAAGCAAAACTCAGTCTCAAAAAATTAAAACAAAAACAAAAACAAAAAACAAAAAAATGCACTTTTTTTTTTAATTTATTTTTTTTAGACAGAGTCTTGCTCTGTCACCCAGGCTGGAGTGCAGTAGTGCCATCTCAGGTCACGGCAACCTCTGTCTCCCAGGTTCAAGTAATTCTGCTTCAGCTTCCCGAGTAGCTAGGATTACAGGCATGCACCACTACACCTGGCTAATATTTGTAATTTTAATAGAGACGGGGTGTCTCCATGTTGGTCAGGCTGGTCTTGAACTCCCGACCTCAGGTGACCCGCTCGCCTCTGCCTCCCAAAGTGCTGGGATTACAGGCGTGAGCCACTGTGCCCGGCCAACATGTGCTTTTTTTTTTTTTTTGAGATAGAGTCTCGCTCTGTTGCCCAGGCTGGAGTGCAATGGCGTGATCTCCGCTCACTGCAATCTCTGCCTCCCAGGTTCAAGCGATTCTCCTGCCTCAGCCTCCCAAGTAGCTGGGACCACAGGTGTGTGCCACCACACCTGAGTAATTTTTGTATTTTTAGTAGAGCTGGGAATTCACCATGTTGGCCAGGTTGGTCTCAAACTCTTGACCTTGCGATCCACCCATCTCAGCCTCCCAAAGTGCTGGGATTACAGGTGTGAGCCACCACGCCCAGCCTGTGCTTTTTAAATTTATATTTGATTGGACTCCACATTAAAGTTCAATCAGGGGAAGGAGAGTTTGAAAGTTTTGAGTAAGTAGTATATAGCATATAGTAGTGTATAGCATAGCCACACTCATTTATCATTATTTATAAGAAAATAAAAGCCTTGGATTGTGGGAGGCTTAGAGGAGCAGGGATGCAACGTACTGCTGTTCAGGTTGCATACTGCAAAAGCCAACCTGGCCAAAAAGGTCAGCAAGGGCTGAAACTGACTCCATATTCTGCTGGCCAAGCCTGTGTCTATGGGGCTACATCCAGCCAGAGGAAACCTTTTCTCTAATCAATACGAAGATGCATGTGAAAGACTTGCAGCAGCCTTGACCAGCTCTATTTCTGAAAACCTGGAGGGCCTGGGTGGGCAGAGCCCTGAGATCCTGTCTCTCTCTGTGCCCTCCTCCTCTGCCCTCATGATGTAGGGACCTGCGGGGCAACTCACTCAACTGCGACTGCAAGGTGAAGTGGTTGGTGGAGTGGCTGGCACACACCAACACCACGGTGGCGCCCATCTACTGCGCCAGCCCTCCCCGCTTCCAGGAGCACAAGGTGCAGGACCTGCCGCTGCGGGAGTTCGACTGCATCACTACGGGTAGGAGGTGCCCCTGCCTTGGGTGTCAGCCCACGTCTACCCCAAGGCAGCTTTACAGGCGTGAAACCCCCCACCCTGCCCCACGACACCCAGTGGCAGCAGTAAAGCAACCACCGTCACCCAAGCAGCCCTTCCCTTCTCCCTCTGGTCTTCAGTAACACACCTCTCATCTTGCAGATTTTGTGCTGTACCAGACCCTGTCCTTCCCAGCAGTGTCGGCTGAGCCCTTTCTCTACTCCAGTGACCTCTATTTGGCTCTGGCCCAGCCAGGTGTCAGTGCCTGCACCATCCTGAAGTGGGACTATGTTGAGCGGCAGCTTCGAGACTATGACAGAATCCCAGGTACCTGCACCCAATCTGGTTCGGCTGGCCCTTGCCGGGGGAGGGGGGAGTGGACTCCGTCATTTAACCCCATTGAGTTTCTGTAGGTAGAGGGATAGATGAGACATATCCTCTGCCCACAAGAACTTTCCAGTCTTTGGGAGGAGGCCAATATATACACAGATATCATCCATATGATAGGCAGATGTTAAGAGGGAGATATGAACATGATGCTCTAGCAGCACAAAGGACAAGCCTACCCTGGGCAATCAGGGAAGGCTTCCTGGTGGAGGGGGAATACCTAAGCTGAGTCTTGAAGGAGAGAGGAAAGGGAGGACTCAGAGGTGATCCCCAGGTGTCTGGCTTACATAATTAGATGGACTGGGAAATGAGGAGGAGACAGGAGTGACTATTGAGCAGTTTTGGATCTACCAAGTTTGAACTGAGTCTTGAAAGCTGAAGGAGACTTAGCTAGGAGCAAAAAAAGTGGAAAGAGTGTTTTGGCAGAGGAAACAGGATGAACAAAGTCAAGGAGGTGTGCAATAACTTAGTATGTGACTGTGTGTATGTGTGCAAATCATAAGCAGCTTGTATGACAAGGGATAAGGTTCAAGGTGGGGAGTGGCAACCAGAGATTCATGAGTACCAGCTCATTGACAGGGTTTAGGCAGAATGTGTGATCCAGTCTGCATTTTAGAAAGCTTCTTGCATGGAAAAAGGCTAGGTGTGGGGCCAGACATGAGGGCAAAACAGTAGGGGGATATGTGCCTGTCTGCTAGAGGGGTGCTGGAGCCTGGATATGAGACAGTAGCAGTGGGGATGGAGGGAGATATTTAGAAAGAAGGGTTAAACTGACACCAGATAAAATAGAAAACTTACATTGCCCTGTCTCCATTAAGGAGCTTGAAGTCAGTATTAAAGAAAAAAACAAAAACAAAACACCTTCCCCTAAAAAAACCTCCTGGCCCAGAGAGCTCCCCTGGTGAACGCTATCAAACATTTAAGGAGGAACTAACACCAATCTACATACACACTATTAGAAAGTAGAAGGGAAGGCTGTCGGGACTTGAGGACTGATCAGGGAAGGGTGAGTGGAGGAGAGAAAGGTGTTAGGGATGACTGCCAGGTTTCTGGATTGGGAGACTAGTGGAGCCACAGCTGAAATCAAGAACAGAGGAGGAGGAGGGCAGGCTCAGCGATGGGTATGGAGCTCAATTGTGAGTTGTGAGTCATGACTGAGTTTGAGGTGCTTGTGTGGGTGTGTGGGCCAGAAGAGTCTGAGGGAAGATTAGGAGCTGGGGTGTGGCATGGGGATCATTAGCATCTGGGCAGGGCAGACCAAGCTCCAAAGAAGGGATTTAGGCAGTGACTGCCAGAGCCTGAGGCTCTACACAAATTTCTCTTAGGGGAAAGGTGGGGTTGCAGTGAGAAGGAAGGAGGGGTGAATTGGGGATGTCAAAGTAGAGATGCTGGGCAGCAGCTGGAGACCCCAGGACAGGTGAGCAGTGTGTGGTTTGATGTACCTGGTGCCCCAGAAGGGCTCCGATGAAGCTGATCGTGAGTACAGGTGCACATGGGCATGCATTCTTGTACATAAAAGCCCTTTCAAAAGTGAGAACTCTTGGGAGGATGTGTTCTCATGTGCTGTGATGCAAACAGCAAGGTGTCTTGGGTATACCTAAGATTCCTCTCCCCTCTGTGGATCCACTCAAATTCTTCCTCCCTTCCCTGCCTGGCCACTGCCAGTGGGGTAGCTTTGGGCAAGTCACTTGCTCTCTCTGAGCCTCAGTTTCTTTCTGTGTGAAACGGACAAAATCACAGGGTCTTTTCCAGAGTAATGAATTCCTCATCGACGTAACATGTGCTTACATTCAGCATAGTGACTGCACACAATAAAAATTCAATAACTGACATTATGGTTAAGCAACGAGTCACTATCGAGGGATACCTATTTTGTGCTGTATCAGCTTATATTTGAACCCTAGGGGTATGGGTGGAACAAGGGTGATACTAAAACTGGCTATTAGCTGTGAAACAACTGGAAAGCATTGAGGGCTTAGTGGATGAACTTCAGTGTGGGTGGAATGGTATAGCGCAGAGTCTTAGTCCTGGCCCAAGGTTAGAAGGGACTGGCCTTCTCCAAGGGGGTGGGATGGAGTGGGAGCTGCCAGCCTGCCTGATGCTGCCTGCCCCTGTCCTGGCACAGCCCCCTCTGCAGTGCACTGCAAGCCGATGGTGGTGGACAGCCAGCTGTATGTGGTCGTGGCCCAGCTGTTTGGTGGCTCTTACATTTACCACTGGGATCCCAACACCACGCGCTTCACAAAGCTGCAGGATATCGACCCACAGCGCGTGCGCAAGCCTAATGACCTAGAAGCCTTCCGCATCGACGGCGACTGGTACTTTGCCGTGGCCGACAGCTCCAAGGCGGGCGCCACCAGCCTCTACCGCTGGCACCAGAATGGCTTCTACTCCCACCAGGCGCTGCACCCCTGGCACCGCGACACCGACCTGGAGTTTGTGGATGGCGAGGGCAAGCCACGGCTGATTGTGTCCAGCAGCTCCCAGGCACCGGTCATCTATCAGTGGAGTCGCACACAGAAGCAGTTTGTGGCCCAGGGTGAGGTGACTCAGGTGCCTGATGCCCAAGCTGTGAAACACTTTCGTGCCGGCCGCGACAGTTACCTGTGCCTCAGCCGTTACATTGGTGACTCCAAGATCCTGCGCTGGGAGGGTACCCGCTTCTCGGAGGTGCAGGCCCTGCCCTCCCGGGGTTCGCTGGCCCTGCAGCCCTTCCTTGTGGGTGGCCGCCGCTACCTGGCGCTGGGCAGCGATTTCTCCTTCACCCAGATCTACCAGTGGGATGAAGGACGACAGAAGTTTGTACGGTTCCAGGAACTGGCTGTGCAGGCTCCTCGGGCCTTCTGCTACATGCCTGCTGGGGATGCCCAGCTACTCCTGGCCCCCAGTTTCAAGGGACAGACGCTGGTTTATAGACACGTTGTGGTGGATCTCAGTGCCTAGGGTGGTGCCAAGGCCTCTGGGCTCCTCAGGGTGGCCACTGAAGGATGGGTGGGGGCCTCTGTGAGCACCACGTGTGCCCGTGTGAAGACGTGAGGCCAACCTGCATCCATGCCGTTGCATCTGCACATGCCCAGTGTGCACAGGCACACCCTGTGGACTGGCCCGGGAGTACATGCATCATCACTGCAATCAGCATGAACACCAGGCACCCCTGGGACACCTCGCGCCCAGTTCCTGTGACCCCAACCATAGCCGCCCCTCCTCTGCAGCCTTCCCCACGTTCTGCCCCCTGTCTTATGCATATGAGTGGTGCAGGGTGCTAGGAGCGAGGGGGGCCGCACCCTCCCGTCCTTGTGCTTCTCCTCCTGGCCCTCTGGTCTTTCCTGTTGGTGCTCCAGGCATTGTTTACCTGCTCTTGCTCCCCACTGTAGCCCACGGCCATATCTGTCATACTTCCCCGGGGGCACTCACCCCTGCCCCAACCTGTCTGCATGCTCACATGGACGCGGACAGACACACTCAGTTACACACTCACACGCCCGGTCTGCACTCCGTGTCTGTCTGTAAACGTGTCAGGGCATGTGTGCATACAAGCAGATTCAGCACTGCCTACCAGGCTCTCCTGTTACCTTGCCTCTCTGCTTGGAGGGGGCCCCCTTTGCTCACCCCCAGCGTGCCCCCCACCCAGACTGATAAGGATGAGAATGGTGGTGGCAGCTTCTGAGGGCCTGCTTGGCCTCCTGGGGGCAAAGCCCCTCTGCCTGAAGCAATAACAACAGCAGCAAAAGCAGCCCCAGGGAGCTGCCGGGGTGTCTGTCTCTGTTCTCCTTGGCGTTTCCTTCATGGCCCTGAATCCCAGCTCACCCATGGATGGAAGACCCCCCCCCTTCAACTGAAAGCCTTTCTGCCTTCCTTCCTGTGGCTGTTGCTTTCTCAGGCTTGGACTGTCCCCTGGTTCACCCTGTCTTTGGGATGTGGTCCCTGAGCTGGGCAGGCTCCTTGGGTGGATTAGAGAGCTGGCCAAGCTATAAGCACCTGAGCTACCTGAAAGGGTGCCCAGAGTGGAGCTTGGCCTGAGGGCATGTTGTAGCCCTGGCCCCCCCAGTCCACAGAGGCCCCCAGGAACACTGCCTTTCAGTGGACAGGGTAGGGACTGGTGGGAGGGGCCCCATGAGCCTAGCTTCTGCTGCCCTCTGCTGTCTGCTGAGATGCCAAGCTAGTGGAGAGGGAGTGGGCAGGGGTGGCCCTGCCCTGTGCCCAAGTGGTGTGATGCTCTTTGTGGCAGGATACCAGGGTACTGGGGGGCAATGCTATGATTCACTTGCTTCAAATAAAAAGCTCCCTCCCCATAACCGGCTCTTGGGTGTCATCAAAATGTGTCATTGAAAATGGAGCCTGGCCCTGCCTGCCCTGCCGCCCACGGGGAGCCTGGCAATGGCTTCCAGACCTTCTTCCTCCTGGCTCCCTTCTTTCTGAGAAGTGGGCATCCCCAAGGTCAGCTGGGGCTGGGGTCAGGAGTTCACAGGGATGACACTCAGGTGCTGGTGTGATGAGTCTCCAGCACCTGGAGCTGACTCACAGCTAGTGTTCCTTCCTGGAGATTACAGTCCGGGCACCCACGAAGACTTGAGTCTGTCCTGCCGTCAGGCCAACTCCAACCAGTGGGGCTGAGGATGATCTCAGCAGTCCATCTTCTTTTATCCCGATGCCTGTTCCTCCACTGGGCAAATGTCTGTCATTGCCACCACATCCACCCAGATGAGACCTGGGAGTCCTAGGTGACATCTGGATCTCTCTTCTCCCATATTTCATAAGCCAAGTCCTCTCCATTCTTTGTCCCAAAGGTTTGCTAGATGGGCACTTTTTTGTTTTGCTCTTTCCCAGCTCAAAGCTTTGTCCAAACCCTCCTCATCGCCCATTGTCTTGGGTCACTTGCCAGTCCCCGCCAACCCGCTTCTCAGTCTGATTTTTTTTTTTTTTTTGAGTTGAGTTTCACTCTTGTTGCCCAGGCTGGAGTGCAATGGCGCGATCTCGGCTCACCACAACCTCTGCTTCCCAGGTTCAAGCGATTCTCCTGCCTCAGCTTCCCAAGTAGCTGGGGTTACAGGAATGCGCCACCATACCCAGCTACTTTTTTTGTATTTTTAGTAGAGATGGGGTTTCTCCACATTGGTCAGGTTGGTCTCGAACTCCTGACCTCAGGTGATCTGCCGGCCTCGGCCTCCCAAAGTGCTGGGATTATAGGCGTGAGCCACTGGCCTGGCCTTTTTTTTTTTTTTTTTTTTTTTTTTTTGAGATACAGTTTCTCTCTTGTTACCCAGGCTGGAGTAAAGTGGCCCTGTCTTGGCTCACTGCAACCTCTGCCTTCCAGGTTCAAGCGATTCTCCTGCCTCAGCCTTTCGAGTAGCTGGGACTACAGGTGCCACCACCACGCCCGGTTAATTTTTGTATTTTTAGTAGAGACAGAGTTTCACCATGTTGGCCAGGCTGGTGTTGAACTCCCGACCTCAGGTGATCCGCCCGTCTCGGCCTCCCAAAGTGCTGAGATTATAGATGTGAGCCACCATGCTTGACCATCGGTCTGATCTTTCTAACACACACGTTCCTCCTGTCCTCCCCTGCTCAGGAACCTGCCTTGGCTTCCTGCTCTACAAGCCCATGAGCCTCTGCGCAACATGAAGATCTTCTATGACCTGGTCCCACTGTACACACCCAAGCCCTGCGGGCAGTCAGGGTCCCTCAACATCTCCGTGAGTGGAATTGAGAGAGCCTAAGACTGTCAGATGGGGGCCGGGTGGGGTCAGTGCTCAGGGTGTCAGTGCAAGTAATGAGGTCTCGGAGACAGCACGCTGAATGGCAAAACAGGTGTTGTTGAGCGGCTGGGACCCCGCTTCTCCTCTTCTCCCATGGGCTTGAGTAAACGGAATCCTTTTGTGGCCTCGTGTGGGTTGGTGATAGTGCAAGGGACAAGAGATGGAAACGGGGCAAATGATAGATCCTTGGGCAGGGGTGCTTGCTGTGTGACCCTGGGCAGGTCAAATCCCTTCTCTGGGTCTCCAGGTTTTAATTTGTCCTTCAGAGCCCCTTTCAGCTCTCGCATGTCACAAAACCCCCTTCATTTCTCTGTCTTCAGCGAGCACCTGTGAGCAGCTGGGCGCAGAGGATTGGGTCATAGTCAGACAGCCCAGGCAGCTCACAGCCAGCCCAGGGAGTGGAGAACTGGAAACAGTGGGGTCTGGAGCGTGGATAACATGGGTGTGAATTCTGGCTCAGTCCCTTCCCATGGTGTGAGATTTCAAGCAAGTCAGCTGATTCCCTTGAGCTTCAATTTCTCCTTCTGTGAAGCAGATTTAAAAACTCCACTTCACGGGTTCTTGATTCTGCCAGCCGGGTGAAACCAGCTAGTAACACTCAGCCACGTTACTTAGTCTATTTGTGCCTCGGTTTTTCTTATTTATAAAATGAGTATAATCGTGATACCTACCTGACAGGGTTTGTTTGTTTTTTCCAGCTTAGGCTGGAGTGCAGTAGTGTGATCTTGACTCACTGCAACCTCCGCCTCCTAGGTTCAATTAATTGTCCTGCCTCAGCCTCCCAAGTAGCTGGGACTACAGGAGCATGCCCCCTGCCTGGCTAATTTTCATATTTTTAGTAGAGACGGGGTTTCACCATGTTCGCCAGGCTGGTCTTAAACTCCTGACCTCAATGATCTGCCCTCCTTGGCCTCCCAAAGTGCTGGGATTACAGGCATGAGCCACCGCGTCCTACCCTGACAGGGTTATTTCTCATGAGAGTGAAATGCATTAGCATATGTAAGTCCATTGGTGTAGTGTTTTGCCTTGGTCTATAGGAATATATGAAAACAGAAGTGGCTCAGATAAGGGTGTTTTATGCAAGAGGAGGAGGTGGATCTTTGGAGAGAACTGTCTGTGGGTGACGGTTCCTCACCCATCCTCAGTCTCAGAGCCCTTATGCCCCATATCTTACCCGTAGCCTCTGACCCGGCCTCCTCGCCCGCAGCAATAGGTGACTTACCTGCTTTCCACCTCCTCAAACATGCTCTTAGCTTAGCAGGCACCTCCATCATCCTGGGGAGGCCTGTCCTTCTTTTCCAAATGGGAAACAAGCCCTTATCCTGTGCTTGGGAGAGGTTGCCAGGGAAAGTGGGTTGAGTCTCCCAGACATGCTGGCACTCTGCTGCCCAGTAGAAAGATAAATATCACTTTGACAGCTGCTGCCCCCGGGGGGAGCTCTTCTGATGGGTGGGAGGCACTTTCCTCCCTTGGCCTGAGTGCCCCGCTTTCTGTGTGTGCCTGCTGGGTCACTTGCCCTGGGGCTTGTCCACGTCCAGAGTGCTGCTTAGCAACCCAGTAGAACTGGGTGACTGTGTCAACAGCTCAGGACCAAAGGCTGCAAGAGGCAAGGTCCACTCACTCTGCCAAGACCAGGGATGGTGACACTCCTCAGCTGCCAGCCTCTTGCCCTCCATGCTGAGCCTTGCTGTCAGCGCAGACCTCTGACATCTCTTCTCTTAGATTTCCCAAGCACAGGCATTGGGACCAGGAGTCTCCATCCGTGAGACCATTCCAGCTGAGTGGGCTTTGGGTGGGCCCAGGGAACGTTTCCCAGCAAATGGGGGTAGACAGAGGCATGTGATGCTAAGGTCAGGCACGTGGCCCCAGAAGGCAGTCATCGGGGAAGGGACAGTTCTGCAGCACGCACCAAAGGACCCGAGGCTCACATGTGCAGTGACCTCCTAAGTCATGGATGTCCCTTTCCTCCTGAGCTGCTTCCCTCTTCAGTCACACCTTTCCTCCTTCAGGGAGACCCAGGACACTTTTCACCCAGGACACTTTTCACATGTCTGTGCCTAAAGATGGACAGGGGCTGGGGCCTTCCTTAGGGGTTCCTCTAGCCCTTGGCCTTTTTGGTTATTCCAATGTGTGTGTGTAAGGGGGGACAGGCAAATGTGAGGGGGTGGTTAAGAGAGGAGAGGGAGACATGGGGCCTCGGGGGAGTTTCTGCTGTGGGCTGGTTTCACTGCTAGCTCTCACACCCAGCAATACCAATAAAACTGATGATAATAATTAAGACCATATAATCACCATGTGTTTATTTATCCCCCAGAAGCCTCCTTTCCCTGGCCCCATGATTACCTATTCCATCCTTATGATAGCTGGTGGGCGTTAACTGTGGCTCCAATAAAAAGCAGTAACTGCCTGTGTTTCCACCCCACACGCCCGGACAGCTTTGCTCCCACCCTTTGCAGGGTGGGAGGGACACTATTTTCAGAGGGAACAACAGAGGCAGTAAGCTGAAGATGTCAAAAAGAATGAAACCTCACAGGGCAAGTAGTAGAAGCAGCAACGTTTGCCTTCTGTTTTAGAGCCTTCCCCCTTCTTCCTGGTGTCTGCCTCCCGCCCAGAGAAACTTCTCCAGTTCCACGACCCTCTGCAGGACCACTCAGCCTGCAGCTGCTGATCTCTCAGAAGACTGATCAAGCCGAGCATGTAGCCACCAGCCGGAAATAAATACCACTGGGTGATACCGGGAAAGTTGCTTTTTACCACTGAGAGTCCTATTTCCTACATGGTAAAAAGGACGTTTGCAAAGACTAAGACCTTGCGTGCAAACGTGCATTACAAAATGGCAATCGTTGATACTACTATTCAGGGCCCAGTGATATTTGTGTATTTGGCTCAGAGGAATAGGTGGAATTTCAAACTTCTGCTGAAGAAGGAGTGTGGGAGCTGGGAGCTCTATCCAGAATGCCTCAAATCATCGCGGTCAGCCTGCCCCGGAGTCAGGGCTCTGGAAAGGCATCCCAGAGAGAAGGGAACCCCTGAAACCTGCGGGGGCGAAGAGTTCCTCAAGTTCCCTCTCCCCCCACGCCTCCCCGCTTTCTCTCCTGGACCCACTGGTGTGAGACCCGGACTTGGGGACGCTCAGCCAAGCTTCCTGCCTGAGCCTGCAGAGATCCTCCCCTCTACCCTACCAACCACATCTCATCCCTTTACCCATTTCACAGAGGGGAAAATGAGGCGAGAGGGAAAGACACCGGGAAAAGCCAGTTAAGGGTCGCGAAAACTCTGGAGTCCAGATTTTCTTTGTGTGCCGACCCCCACACTCCCCCTGCTTTTTCGTTACAGCTTCCCACGCTCTAATCTTTCCGATTGGGAAGGTGACTCCACTGTGGGCCCCGCGCGCGAGTCCCGCGGCACATCGCCGCTTTAAGGGGCCGGCCTCTCGCCTCCCTGACCTCGCCCCGCCCCCTCCGCAGCCACACTGCGCCTGCGTGGCGAGCCGGAGCCCTGGGGTTGGGCAGCACTCGGTTCCGTGCAACTTTCAAGTGAGTTGCAAACTCCGCCCTGCAGGCCGGTGCTGGTGGCCCGGCGCGCTGGCACCGCGGTGACCCGCTCCAGCGCGGGACCAGCAGCAAGGGCCGAGCGCCGGGTTCTCCGCGGCAGGAAGGGCGGGTGGGAGCTGTAACTGTCCCGGCCGCGGGGCGCGCCCGCTCCCAAGTCGGCTTCCTCCCCGCCGGGGCCGCTTTGCCTCGGGTCTCCCCGTTCTCCAGGTCCCCTGAACTGCACAGTCGGAGGCCGTGGGCGGCGGGCTCTGCCTCCGCCAAGGAACAGCCGGATCGCCCCTCTGCTTCCCGCAACTGCCCTGATCCCCCCCGTTCCAGCCCTTGAGTGAACGTCCTTCTGAGCGGCTTCCTGGGGTTCTCCCCACGTCCCCAAGGCCGGCAAGATGGTGTCCTGGATGATCTGTCGCCTGGTGGTGTGAGTATGGCCGCCCTCAGACCTCCTCTACCCCGGGGTGCCGTCCCACCCCTGTGGTGGAAGCTGTGGACGTCTATAGGAGGGGGAACTTTCTGAGCTCCGCCCTCCAGCACTCCATACCAGGGTTAACGGACCTGTGGGCTTGCACGCAGTGTCTGGGGTACCGCCCACTCCCCGCCCCACCAAGCCTCGTCGGCTGAGGACGACCCCTGCCACATGCCACACACACTGCAAACAGATGCCTGGGGCCGAGGGCCACAGACCTACTTTACTGCCCCTTGGCAAACACAAGGTGATATGGCACGTTGTGGGCGGAGAATCCAGGTGCCTGCTTGCCATCTGAGCAGTCACATGACTTACCATCCTGCTCCTCACCTTTGAGTACGCCAACACCTGGCTCCCATAGCACCTTCTGCAGCCCGGCAGTACCAGGTCTGGTGACCCTGGGCCTGATTGCATGCCCATGGGAGGGGACAGTCTGGTGTTCTCACCCACTTCGTGGAGTGGCTGTCCTCTCGCTCCATCACGCACCCATGGGCCACCGGTGCAGGCCTGGGCAGGCTTGGATGTTTGTAAACAGCAGGGTGGGGAGGTGGCCTCCAGGGCTCTGACTCAGGCACAGGTTGTACAAGCCAAGCGAGAAAAACAGGGCGGGTACTGCCACCTTGCACCCCAGTGGGGAGAAATGGCCACCTGGCAAGGTGGGAGTGGGGCATAGTGCCCCTCACACTCCCCATGGCTGCTCTTCCAGGCTGGTGTTTGGGATGCTATGTCCAGCTTATGCTTCCTATAAGGCTGTGAAGACCAAGAACATTCGTGAATATGTGAGTGTGGGGGTTTGGGTGTGTGTAGTAGGACCCGGTGAGGTGGGGAGGGTCTGAGCTGGCTTCTCCCTCCTCCAGGGGCAAGGTCATGTGGTACTTCCTGAGTGGAGTGGGGAGGGAGAGAGAATGGGCCCTGTTCAAGAGGGTGTAGATAGAGGGCAGGCCATTGGGGTGCCTGTGGAAGACCTCGTGGGTGAAGCTTGTTGGAGGCGGGCATAGGAATGAGCAGCAGTTTCTCAGAGCTCCTGTCCAGCCATGCGTGGGGGAAAGCAGCTATGCAGCCGGACAGGCTCCCTGGAATCTCTGGGCTAGACTGGCCCGGGTTGGGAGTTGGTGCTGCCAGCCCCAGGCTGACCTCTGCGCTCTCACTCCACAGGTGCGGTGGATGATGTACTGGATTGTTTTTGCACTCTTCATGGCTGCAGAGATCGTTACAGACATTTTTATCTCCTGGTATGGACACAGGGTCCGCAAACCATGGGTCAGGGGTGGCCCCTCCCAGCCCTGCTCCTTGGCTCACCCTGCCCCCTGCGCTGTGACAGGTTCCCTTTCTACTATGAGATCAAGATGGCCTTTGTGCTGTGGCTGCTCTCACCCTACACCAAAGGCGCCAGCCTGCTTTACCGCAAGTTTGTCCACCCGTCCCTGTCCCGCCATGAGAAGGTACCCCAGGGGGAGGCGAGAAGGGAGGCTTAGGGGTGTGTGTGAGGGAAAGAGCTCTGGACCTGGGATTTAGGATGCTGGGGATACCAGGGTTCTATCCCAGTCCTGCTGCTGTTGAGGTGCAGGACCTTGACAGGGCCCAGCCTACCTCATCTTCTGGGATAATCAGGTGGGGCGCACATGAATGACCTCTGAGGATGGAAGTTGGTTTGGGGGTAGTGGTGGCAGCAGCTGGAGCATGGCCTGTCACTGAGGTGAATGGGTGGTGGCCCTGCTCTTGGTATGTGTTTGTGGCCCAGATTTGTGGCTCTGGGCACCAGCTGGGGCTGGGCTGGGCTGGGCTGGCCTGGGTGGTGCCACAATCAGTGGCTTCTCAGAATCTGCAGAGGAAGAGGGACTCTGGCTGTCCACCTGAGCTCTCCTCCCCATCGGTTCCACAGGAGATCGACGCGTACATCGTGCAGGCCAAGGAGCGCAGCTACGAGACCGTGCTCACCTTCGGGAAGCGGGGCCTCAACATTGCCGCCTCGGCTGCTGTGCAGGCTGCCACCAAGGTGCTCCAGGTCCCCAGCCCTCCAGCAGCCCCCATCCCACCGCTAAGGCCCTTTGGGCTCATTCAGCTCCTCTGCCAGGGAGCCCAGAGATGGCAACTGGGGAGCAGGGGTGAGAAGGTGACAGGGGATATTGGCAGAAGCATGGAACTGGAGTCAGACCTTCCTTCCTGGCTCTGGCACTGAGCGTGAGCAGCGGCTCCTGCTCTCTGACTTTGGTTTCCTGTTGGTGCCACATTGGCGCGGGGCCAGAAGCTTGCTAAGCAGTTTTCACTTCTGCGTCTCAGCCCCAGTGATTAGCTGGTTGGCCGATTTCCCTGGGCAGTCTCCCCGCTGAAGCCTCTTCCCCCTTACAGAGTCAGGGGGCGCTGGCCGGCAGGCTGCGGAGCTTCTCCATGCAGGACCTGCGCTCCATCCCTGACGTGCCTGCCCCTGCCTACCAGGACCCCCTCTACCTGGAGGACCAGGTGTCCCACCGGAGGCCACCCATTGGTGAGTGGGCAGGGGGACCCAGAGCCATGCCAGGAGGGATGGCTTCCTTCACTCACACCATGGCTTCCCCCAAGGCTCGAGGAAGAGCTGGCCTGGCCACAGGCTTTCAGCTTCACCTCCTCCACACAGGGTACCAGGCTAGGGGCCTGCAGGACAGCGACACCGAGGATGAGTGTTGGTCGGATACTGAGGCAGTCCCCCGGGCGCCAGCCCGGCCCCGAGAGAAGCCGCTAATCCGTAGCCAGAGCCTGCGTGTGGTCAAGAGGAAGCCACCAGTGCGGGAGGTCAGTGTGGGAGGACGACAGGAGGAAGGAGGGCTCTGCTGGCTGGTGCTCCCCACACCCTCATGTTGTGCCTCCTCTCTCCCCAGGGCACCTCGCGCTCCCTGAAGGTTCGGACGAGGAAAAAGACTGTGCCCTCAGACATGGACAGCTAGGGTCTGCCGCATCTGGCCCCTTCTTACCTCGTGCCCTGCAGGGCTCCAGGGCTATTTGGAGCGACCTTTGGCAGCACATCTGGCCTGCACCAACTGCCTGGGCCCCACCCTCCTGACTCCTACTGATGGTTAAGGGCCAGGAGCAGATGCTGCCAAGGCCACATGCACCCACAATGTACCAAAGCAGGCTGGGCCCAGGGTTCTATTTATTGCCTTGCTCTGTCCTCTCCCTTCCCCAGTTGTGGGACAAGAGCCGTCCCTGAACCCCTGCAAATGAAACTAAACGTCCACCTGGGTGTGTTCATTCCTTCCTGTCCTTCAAAGTACTTGATAGCCTTTTATAAGGCCTGGCGCGTGTGTCCTGGTTGTGTGTGTGTGTTGGTGAGTGAGGTCAAGTTTGCCAATGTTTTGATAAATAAATACATAAAGGGGTTCTGTTTCTCCTGATTCTTACTCCCATTGCTCGCATCACTCCCTTGAAATTGAACAGCCCAGTCCCAGCCTAGGTCTAAGGCTGAAGGAGCCCAGTCCTCTGGAGGAGACAGAACCATTGACAGAGGGTTGCGATGCAGCACATGATCTCACGAAGGAGCTCTTGGGGAGCTTTTGAGAGCATTGATGGGAAAGTGGGGACCAGTCCAGAGGACGGGTCAGAACCCAAAACTTCAGTTAGGCAGAAGTTAGGCCTTGGCAGGAAGGTGCAGCTGTAGAGAAACCAGTGGGAGCACAGACAGGAGGGGCTCGGGGCAGCACGTTATTCCCATAGGGAGGTCGAAGCTAGACAGAAGAGGCCTGGGGAGCAGTATCTCCTCTAGGAGCCTTGAAGAAGGAGCCCCCTGGGGCAGCTCTGGGGACATTTAGTTCTGTAAACACTCAGGAAACAGCAGGGGCACCATTGCACCTCTGAGGAGTGGCCACCAGAGGGCAGCAGTGGCCAGGATCTGGGCTGCCCCCGGCTTCCAGGTCAAGGAGGGTGGGGTTGGGAGACTGGCCAGAGCCTCGCCCTGCGGGGCCTGGCGGAATTCAGAAGGCCTCCAATGGCCCTGACTGGTCCTTAGCCTGCCCCATCCAAGGAGTCTCCTCTGCTCTCCAGAGACCGAGGCTCTTTGCCTGGCTGGCTCCACTCCAACTCCTCCGATTCCTGAGGCAACTGGGGTACCCAGCTCTGCCCTCTCCTGCCCCTGATGCTGGTCTCGCCACGATGCCCAGGGTGCACCCCTCTGCCACGGCCGCACCTGCTCCTCCTCCCTGCTTTTGATTAAGCAAAGAGGTGGGTGAGAGTGTGGGATGAGAAGAGGGGAAACAGGGTGGTAACCTGGAGTGGCCCCAGAGTGTGGATTAACTCTTGGTGTGGGGATTATCTGGGTTTTATTTGGGGGAGGCTCTTAATCTGCTGTGGTGATTTAGCTTCTCACATATGGGGGCTCACTGGCGTCCAACATGGCCTGCCTTTGCATCGTGGGGTTGTCTTATCTCCTCATTAATTCATTCAAAAATGAATATTGAGCCTCGAGCAGGTACCAGACATGTTGCCAGACACTGCAGGGATGCAGGGAGTAGTAACGGCTGGCGCCCAGAGCGTGGCTGCCCACGCAGACGCTGCTCTAAGCCCCTGGCATATATTAATTTAATTCTCATAACGATCTTGTGGGGGGCAGGTACATACTAGTCTTATAGTCTCCATTTTACAAACAGGAAAACAGGCACAGAGAGGGCAAGTGATTTGCCCAAGGTCACATAGCTAGTAGGTAGCAGAAGGGCTTGGAATCAGGCGGTCTGGCTCCAGAGTCTGTGCACTTAATCACTAAGCAGTACCAGAGTGTAGGAGATGATTCTTGCTTGGGAGGCAAGGACACAGAGACTAACACGTATGGAATATTTGCTGTGTGCCTGACCTTGTACTGGGCATTTTACAGAGATGATTTCCTTGAATCCTCCCAACAAGCCTACCAAGTAGGGACTATATCCATTTTTTAAAACAGGTTCGCACTGAATCGCCCAGGCTAGAATACAGCAGAACGATCATAGTACACTGCAACCTTGAACTCCGGGACTCAAGGGATCCTCCCACCTCAGCCTCCTGAGTAGCTTGGGCTACAGGCACTCTCCATCACACCTGGCTAATTACTATATTTTTTTTGGTAAAGACAGGGTCTCCCTATGTTGCCCAGGCTGTTCTTGAACTCTGGGGCTTGAGTGATCCACCTGCATTGAACTCTGAAACTGCTGGGATTACAGTCATGAGCCACCGCACCCACAGGGCTACACCCATTTTACAGATGAAAAACCGAGGCTTGGAGAGCCACAACAACTTGTGTACCACTGTGCTGCTTGTGAGCCGGGGGCCCTGACTCCTGATGCACCTCTGCCTGGGTGTTGCATTGATAGAGGCGGGCTGGCAGGATCCATGTACCCAAATCGAGGGAACAAAACCAGAGGGGCTGGCTGGGCGCGGTGGCTCACACCTGTAATCCTAGCACTTTGGGAGGCGGAGGCGAGTGGATCACGAGGTCAGGAGATCGAGACCACGGTGAAACCCCGTCTCTACTAAAAATACAAAAAATTAGCCGGGCATGGTGGCAGGTGCCTGTAGCCCCAGCTACTCAGGAGGCTGAGGCAGGAGAATGGCGTGAACCCGGGAGGCAGAGCTTGCAGTGAGCTGAGATCGCGCCATTGCACTCCAGCCTGGGCAACAGAACAAGACTCCATCTCAAACAAAAACAAAAACAAAAACAAAAAACAAACAAAGAAAAAACCAGAAGGGCGCCAAGTGCGGTGACTCACCCCTGTAATCCTAGCACTTTGGAAGGCTGAGGCGGACAGATCACCTGAGGTCAGGAGTTCGAGACCAGCTGGCCAACATGATAAAACCCCGTCTCTACTAAAAATACAAAAATTAGCCGGGCATGGTGGCACGTGCCTGTAATCCCAGTTACTCAGGAGGCTGAGGCACAGGAATTGCTTGAGCCGGGGAGGCAGAGGTTGCAGTGAGCCGAGATTGAGCCACTGCACTCCAGCCTGGGTGACACAGCAAGACTCCGTCTCCAAAAAAAAAAAAAATAACAAACCCAGAAGGGCATGTGATGAATGGCAAAACAAAACAGAGTGAAAGAAAACAGAGTTGGGGAGAGGCCTGAAGTCGTGGGGTGGTGAGGGAGATTTCACTGGGGTGGGGGCTTCACTTGCCCTCCCTCCTAGGGTGGGTGCTTGGAGAGGGCCACAGGGCTACCAAGCCCCTTGGCGGAGCTTATGATCCCTTGTCCTCGCCATCTCATCAGACTGTCTGGTGGCTTCGTGTGGCCCTATGCATGCTGGCCTCTGACATGCTCTTCCTCCACCATCCAACTCTGTCCCATTTCTACTTGCCCTTTGAACCCCACTCAGACATCGCCTCCCCAGGAAGCCCTCTGCAAGCATTCCCTCACCTCAGAGTGGTTTGCTGTCTGGACCACACCACCTCTGTTCTTGCACAGACTTCTGTTTTTGCCTTGAGCACGTTGCCTTTTCTCCCCCACTGTGTTGTGACTTCATAAAGAACAGACGTATTTTACACACTGTTGTAGCTCAGCCTGGAACAAATGGTCTAACCACAGAGAAATATTTTTGTAAGTTCGCGACTGGATGGTGAAGTCCTGCTCATTCTCTGACCTTCTCCATGAAGTTCCCCTGACTTCCCCAGGGCGGGACTAGAAGCATCTTGTAATCATTCATGAACAAGCCCAACACCCCCAGCGCCCAGCACCGGGCCAGCACCTAAGAGGCCTGGAGGAGTTTTGCTGGTGAAAGAACAAACGCGCCAAGTGACCATAAGTTCTGGGTGGGGGAGGCCGGGGGTGGGGGTGGGGGTGGGATGGCCTCGTGATTTCTGCCTTTGTGCTCTGCGTCACCTGGGGCCTACCGCCAAGCCTTGAACATGCCAAGGCCCCTAGAACACGGGTTTGGTGAACGGCTGACTGCAGTTGTATGAAGTCCAACACATGCTGGGGACAGAGAGGAAGGAGCCAGAAGTCCAAGTTCTGGGGCATTTCTGGGTGAGCACACCTATGACCCGGAGGCTCAGGGCACTGGTTGCCAACTGGGCTTCCCTGAGAGTCAGTCCTGCCTCTCTGAGAACCCCTGATACCTCACCTTTGCCCAGCATGGTTGTACACTGGAGGAGATTACTGTCTCACCCTCCACCTCCTCTGGCCTGGCCTCTCTAGGAAGAGTAGGCTGCGTGCCAGCCAGCCTAAGCACCCCCAACCCTCTCCTCCCCACCAGACAGTGGACCACCAGCAGGATCAGGGCTGGTGGGGACATAAAGCTGCCACAGCCAGCCCCCTTAGAGCTGCATACCTCCGCTGGGTCCTGGCCCCTGCCCCACTCGGTTCGTGCCCTGGTCTCACTCCTCCCCTCCCCTGCAGCTTGTCTGCTTTTGAGGGGCTCCTCCATATCCATCCTGGTTTCTGGGTGCAGATGGCCCTTTGTTCTTGCCCCTCTCTTCTCTCTCCTCTCCACCCACTGCCATCCCTTGGCCCTTCCAGGTGGCTCCGTTCCCTGTCTGCCTCTTCAGCCCCCATCACTATCCCTCTTGGCCTGGGGCCCTCCGTGTCCTGGTCCCCTTCCCTGTCTCCAGCCTCCATGTGTGCCGCATGCATTGGCTGTGTTTTTAGCCGCCACTGATTAGCCTCTAGTTCTGACACAGCCCTGGCCCAAGCTGGGTCGGGGCTGGTTGGCACTGCCCTCCACCTTGAGGGGGTTAAGGAGGTGTCACCTGGGCTCTGGCTCCGTCCTCTACCCAGCATCAGGGACCAGGGGTTTCAAGAGCTGGGTAGGGGGCAGATGCCTGGGCAGGAGGATTCTCTGCTGCTGGAGAAATCCTGGGGGCCACAGTTGGTGTTTCCAGGTAGGCACAAAGGTCCCGAGCCCAGGGCAGAGTGGAGCTGGCTTCCTCTTCCCGGGTGGGTAGCTTGTGGGGCTAACCTGGAGGGGAGGGGAGGTGGGGGGAGGAGGAAGCGCACTGGGAGGTGCAGACTGAGAAGAGGAATTAGGTCAGGGATGTAGGTGGGTGGGCGAGAGGGGAGGGTGGCATCTGCTTCGGAGCTTCCTCCGGGTTCCAAACGCATCTCCACACTTCCCTTCCCCTCCTCCCCACCCCCTGCCCCCACCCCCACGGGTCCCTGGAGAATTCGCCTGGTATTTCCCCTCCCCCATCCCCCCCAGGCATTGCCACAGGGTGGGGGTGGGGTGGGGGGAGGCCAGCCTCAGCTGTCTGAAGGATGGAGGGGCTGGGGAAGCAGGGCTAGGTGCCCAGACGGCCGCGTGTGTGGGAGGGGATGTCCTCAGATGCCCTCCACCCGGCAGTCCCCGCTCTGACGTGGGTGCCCCCCCTTTCCCCGCCCGGATTAGT